GTATTTGCCCAAGAGACAATATCCTTTTTGCATTTCTGGAATCTTTTCATTTTTGTGTGTTCTGAATTCAGGAATTTCGCAAAGAACCATTTCAGGACCTGTTTTTTTAATGTATTTGTTAATGCTATATGTGACTGTATTCATAATTCTAAGTAACTCTTATATTAAAAATGTCATTGTCTATAAACTTCTGCAGTCTGATACTGATTCAATGCGAAATTGGTGTTTGGACCATAATTTTGGCAAATCTATGATTATATCATTTACCTTTAAAATGATCAGCATTAACTTTAATTACAAACGATGGAATAATCTTATTTAACATTCCCATTGTGGAAAAGATCCCAGAGTTCAGTTAGACTGTAATCTCTGTTTTCATCATCACATTTATTACATATTTTCACAAGGTTTAAAAATGTTGTGTTTAATTTATTATGTATTCTTTTTTTTCCACTATTTGAACCCAGAACCTCCTGAGTGCTAACCACTGCACCACTAATCTTAGAGATCAGGTTTTATTGTGGGAAAATTGTTTTTAATATACATTTTGCTGGCATTATTTTCGATTCATTTGGATGGGGACAGGCAGGCTTACGGCTTTTGTGCTGATGTGTTTTTGGTTGCATAACATTAAGTAATTGTAATGTGTGAATTTCGTAAACTTTGCTGTAGCCATAAGCCGAGTGCTAGTGTGCGTCTGATAAATAGACGTAGCAGAGCTGGTAAGCAGGTTTTTTTTAGCATTGATGGCTTAAACTAAGTACAAGGTCACATTAGCTATGTATGTGCTATCACTTCGGTGACTGATATCGTCACTGCGGTTACCCGTTTTAGTGCTCTTTGTTGCTAACATTCAAGTTCGCCATAAATTATGCAAGTAAGAGTTATTTGTGTATATGGAATGATGAAACATTTCTGTATACAGTCTAGTAATGGTGGACTCGGTGAATAGTAAAGATGAAGTTGTTTGTGTGCCTAAACAGACACCACGAAGGTGTATGAGAGATTCATTTATTCTATTGAATATCATGGCCAAGTAGTTAACCCTCCTGCTTCTTATTTGGGAGGTCCCTGGTTCAAATCTTCGCCCAGAGAGGTTTTTTGTGATTTTCCTCAGTCCATCCAGGCAGGTGCTCGGATAATACCTGAATTAAGGCTGTGACCACTTCCTTCCCAGTTCGTTATCCGTTAATCATTTTATCATCTGACACTGTATAGTCTGAGGTGGTTAAAGCATTGTTAAAATAAAACACAAATAATTAGCTCAATGCGTGATAATAGATGGAGCAGTGTGGCTAACTTTACATTGTGATCCATTCATTGTTGGTGTACTGTTGTATAGGAGGCTGGGTGGGCCCCAGACTGGTCTGAATGTTGGGGCAAAATAGTCCTGCCCCTACTGGGAAATGGGTCGTAGTTGTCCAGCCCATATTGATTTAGCTGTCCGAGCTCATACAGAATGAAGCAGTTTGTTTTGGCTCTTGCAGTGACAGGAGATTGAAGAGAATTATGTAATGAGGAGCTTCATAATATGTAATAGTTATAAAATAACACCAGGGCAGTCAGATCGTGTATCATGAGATGGATAAGGCGAGGGAGTTGAGGCATGCATTTTATTTTTATCTGGAAACCTGTACACAGGACAGCAGAACCCAGAAAAACGCGGACAAACATCCATGGCTTGAGTGGGATTCGAACCCACGGTCCCAGCGACCAAGCGGCACAAGGCCCACGCCTCAGACCGCACGGCCACTGCGGACCCCTTATTATATATGGAAAATTATAAATTAAATTCTCTGAAATATTTGTTTTACAAATTAGTTGACAGTGAAATCATTTCTTTCTTAACATGTGTAACAGTAAATTATTTAAGCATGTATGTGATTGGATCAGCAGTTTTATTATTGTCACTACTGAGATTAGATCTAGAATTTGATTTTGATTTAAAGAACTCCTGTGTTGATGTTACGTGCATTTTCTGGGTTATGAGGTAGCCAGCTCATCCAAATAGAAAGCAGTCCTAAGTGAAACCTGTTTGTTGACCATGTACCGTCCCTTTTCAGAACATTCAGTTTAATTTGTCAAGCGTGTGTGCATGTATAGCATTGCACATCCTCACAGAACCAAACATAAAGGTGAAAGTCATTCCAACTAGCCGTCCGTTTTGTTCATGAAGTCACAGTTGACGTACAAAGCAAGTGGCCTTACTGAGTGAAAGAAAACTATTTCAATATTGAAAAAGGTTTAAGAATTATTCTCAGGCTATCAGCTGTGTAAGGTGGTTTAATAAAGAAAATACTAATGTTTAGAGGACCATCTTCGTCCTCATCCTCATGGTACCATAGCTGTAGTAAGTACCCTGAAGACGAAGTTGAAGATGGTTCTCGAAACGTTGCTGGTTTTTTTTTTTCATTAAACCACCTTACACGGCTGGTAGCCCGAGAAGAATTTAATATACATAGTCACCGTGAAAGCTTCAGATCATACAACAAACTTTAATTTTCACACGTTTGCTCAGAGTATTGTGTCGGATTGTATCGTTAACCATTTAAAATTCAGTGGCAACCATATGCCCCACCTGCTTCAACATTCAATAACTGTTCATTTTGTATTTGTGGATTTTGTATGATTTGCGCTGTAAACAGTGATTATTCCCGTAAACATCATTAACCAGTTGATCATTGTAATGATGAAATGTTATGCTTTCTTTGAGGTATAAATTGAATTATTAAATATTATTAGATAAGCTTCAGCTTCAGAGGTTAAGGATGGAAAGTAAGGAAGAAAGAAGGGAGGGCAGAAAGGAACAGATAAATAAAGATAAATAGATTTATTCCTTTTATGCATTTTAAGAAAAGAAATTGAGAGGGTATGAAATGGACTGAACCAACTCAAGGCACTTTTAAATTTGGTGGGGGGTGGGGGCTTCAGGTTGTGTTAACAGAGAAGTGTTTGGTTGGTAGGTTTGTTAGTGTGCTGGTAAACTGCACGGCTTACTTGTCGCCCTGATAATATAGGCAGCAAGCACCTCTGAAATATCAGTAAATGTCTACTGGCTACGTGGCACAACAAATCAGAAGATAGCCGTCTTCATACTTGAAACTTAATTTGTAGTACATTGGTAGAGGTTCTGATTTATTTGTCTAACTTCTGTGGAAATTTTGGACCTAGAAGTAATATTATTGGTCTGTGGTCTGCAGACAGCCGCTCTTCTGAAGACTGCTGGAGCAATATCTTTAAACATACGTCATTTCTTACTACTCTGCTTTCCTTCCTTCCCGCAACATCATTAATCTCTTACCTTACTAAACACTATTTGCATTGGATACAGTGTTATGAAATAAGCTCAGAAAGTGAATTCTGTACCGAAATACACATAATGTCTTCATGCAACGTGAATTTAGAGGAATAAAAGCCATGTTTTTGATAGTTTCCACTTTTGTCACCGGATTGCAGCACCTCTGTCTACCTCACGATTTTCCTTACCTGTCATTTCGTTATTGTCGCTCGTAGGATATTCAAATGTAAGGATTTGAGATTGTACAGAATATCGCAACCTCCACATCATATATCATCCAAATCCTTCCATTTGTTCTCGAATTGAATCAACTAGACGGACGGACATGACAAGCCATAATGCATTCTCCCTATGCGCTTCTTGCAAGGAACACAAAAATGTACAATTAAATCAGTCTTTACTACATGTTTCAGAGGATATGAGAATAAGTTTTATATGAGAGTGAGAAAGGGAATATTAGTATTTTGATTTTGTTGAATATTGTCAGTATTAGTAATGTAAAAATTACCAAAATCATCTTCGCTCTTTTTTTTCCCATTGTACAGTAACCATGTATGTGTCATGGCTTTCAGTATATTGCATTAAAAATGTAATTGATTAAATTATTTATAATTATTTCTAAGTGCCTTTAAAGCTTAACTCTGATGTATGTGTATTTAATTTTATTTCCAGAATTTATTGAAGAATTTATAATTTTTAAATGCATTAAATTATACTGTTTAATGTGAAATAAGTCATGTTAATATTTATTGCAGAGTTATTAACTTTTACTTTTCACTTAGTCTCTTTACCTCAGGGCTACAGTGTGAAATTAAATGCCCTTGAAAATAAATTTCTGTAAGTAAATTTGAGTATTGTGATCCTTAACTTTGACTTAACGCATTGTCGAGAAGAATCCTAGTAAATTCAAAATTGACAACAAGGAACTAAGCAGCCGAAGAAGCTTCATTGACCAAACTCGGGAGGAAGTGAAGGTGAGCATACGTCACATCGTAACCAGAACACTTCTGTCTGGAAGTGGTCATGTTACTAGTCAGCTGACAGTTTTATTATTGTTAGTTCTGTGGAAGAAATTAATTAATCTAGATTAAGCACTGTAGAGGCACGTTCACTGAAATAAGGGATGTTGATTACTGTAAAGACAATTGTTCACATTTCTTTGGATTCTTTTAATTTGACTTTATAAAATTCACAGAATACCTAGTGTAAGTATTCACCAGGATACTTTAAAGAAGTTCTGTCCTACAAATTTTTATTAAAGTTACTAAATTTGAAAGATATTTATTTGTCTGATTAATTTTTATTATGTAAAACTTGAGGTTCTCACAGCGGTGAGTATGAAGATTTCCATCTTCTGGGTTGTTGCGCTGTGTAGTCTGGTCGATGTTTACCAACGTTTCAGAGGTCATACTCCCTCCGTCATCAGGGCGCCCTGATGACGGAGGCAGTATGGCCTCTGAAACGTTGGTTAACATCGACCAGGCTACACAGCGCAACAACCCAGAAGACAGAAATCTTCATACCTACCGCCGTGAAAACCTCAAATCTTACGTTGAAGAGTTGACTGTGAAGTGCAGACTTAATTCAGTTCATCTCAAGATTTTTGTTGCATTGATATACCTTTGCATGTGTACTGGGAGTTTGATTCAGTCTGTGTAATGGCGGAAGCAAAATTCCTCGTCTGTATTACTAAACTTACGTGTTTATAATAAGAAGTTGTGGCTGCAGATTGACTTCAGTCTTATCTTTGTTGATTTGTTCACAGACTATGAAAGACAAGATGAATATCTCCAGGAATAGGGATCGTGACAGAACTGCTAGGCAGGTATGCACACGCTGATTCATTAGCATACTTTCTGTGATGGTATAGGTAAATAGTAATAGCCAGGTATGTATTGTGTCAACTTGTTTTGGTATTTTTTGTGAAGTCATACTACAAACTCTTTGCGTTTTATGTGGCGAGTCTGTAAAACCTAATTGTATGTTTGGATTTTGAATATTGTTTGAATTAATACTTCGTGCAATGTAAAATGTATGCTGAGACGTGAAATTAATAAAGACAGAACATCAAACATGTAACTAATAAAAGAATACGGAAATAGTTCAGATATATCTTGTATCGTTTAAAGTATAATTTTGAAAATGACACTATCAAAGACATTTAAACATGCAATGTAAAATACGTTTTAAAAGTATATTCAGCAGACACATGGACTTCCATTAAAAAGGCAAATAGAATCCTGGCAACTGAAATAAAATAGTAATTCTGAAAACCAGAAGTGATGCAGTTAGGAACGGAATAAAAATTGATAAACTACGAGAGAAGTTTGAATTACCCGTGTGAAGTAAGTGAAGGAAGATGGATTGCCAAAAAATGTTCATGGATTTGAAACCGAAAGAATGAAACATCTAAGAATTTTGAGATCTGACAGGTGGACCACGTGAGGTGCGAAAGGAGACAGTTCATTGATGGAAGTGACAGACGTGAAACTGTGGAGGGTTAAACAAGGACAGAATTTTTTATGCAATAGAACACGATAATGATGATGATAATGATTTCGCAGTTGAGTAATTTAAAAATGCTCAAACAGTTTCTGACTACTGTCACCAATTTTTCTATTAATTATGACAAGTATCTTAAGATATTTATAGCCTTGATTCTTATTCACAGGAAGACATCCTGAAAGAGGTGATTTCAGATGAACTTAGTAATAATATATAGGTCAGTTCTGAAAAGGTACAAATAATGAACTGTACTTGGATTCCAAAGCTGGGTCTTAAGTGTGGACCAAAAGGAAGAAGAAACATAGAATATTATTATGCAATATTTTCACAACTGTGTCGAGGTGGAATGCAAACTGATGCTTCATTGGTATGATGAAACATCAAGAAGTATTTCAGACATAATGTTTGCACTAATCATGTTTTGTATATATAAATTTTTAAATGTTCAGATTTTTTTGTATAGATATTGACTAACTTAGCCCAGTGATGTCTGCAATTTTTAGGTGCATTTGCATCCCTTCAGAGCACCAATTAAAATTGCTCTGTCCTTCTGTTTATATGTATGAGTGAAGTAACTCAAGAATGATAAACCACTTTCGATTAAATTTTTCAATGAAAAATTTTGTATAAAATTGTCAGGCTCTTTCAGTTTTGGGGTCGTAGTGGCCGCGAGGTCTGAGGCGCGGGCCTCGTGTCGCTTGGTCACTGGGGCCGTGGTTTCGAATCCCACTCAAGCCATGGATGTTTGTTCGCGTTTTTCTGTGTTGCGCTGTCCTGTGTACAGGTAGAGGCCTTGCGACAGGCTGATCCCTCGTCCAAGGAGTCCTACCGAATGTATATAGGTCAAGCCAATGAAAAAGTTGGGACCCGCAGTGCTCAGGCACTTGAAGAACGGGTCATTCCCAGTATCCCAGTTTCAGTTTTAGATCAGACAAGTTTAGCAACTCTGTGTGACATATTAAGATTGAATTGAGGCATGTTTGTTGAGTTGCAGTTAATCTTACTACAAGTATATTCTGCCCATAGCCACTTCTGGAGAACAGTCCAGTTCGAGTTCCAACGAGTCATGGGACAACCAAGTATTCTAAGCTGGAGAATGAATTGGACAGTCCAAATCGACAGTTTTTGGATGACACACTCCAGCAACAAAACCACATCATGAGGACTCAAGATGAACAGTTGGATATGATTAGTGATTCAGTTGGGTCACTAAAGACTGTGTCACGGCAAATTGGGAGTGAACTAGATGAACAGGCTGTGTAAGTACCCGTTTCAAAAGTATTCTGTGTCTGCATGGAATAGATGTTCTCGCAGCGACAGAGTTATGATGCATTGTTTGCACAGTATGCATGAAATGAGCACATGGGCTGATCATGTTTGTCTGTTTGTCCATCCATATGATTTAACTCTAAGACATTTGTACAGATTTTGACGAGATTTGGTGTGGATGTTATGCCATTGGAGGCTATCCTAAAGTAGTACATTTTAATTTCGTATAATTGTCAATACCAACATAGTATATGTACAAACTTGGGAGGTGGGAATGACACTGTTGCCAGTTGATACAGGGTCATACAATGATGTATGGTAAAAATGTAAAATTTTGGTGCATTAATTTTTTGTACAGTATAAAACAACACAGTGGCTGTGCGAAACAATTACTATGCTTATGTGGAAAATAATTCAGAATGTAAAGAATACTTGTGGAAACTGTACCCCGATATATATTTTACCTCTCCGTTCTTTATTTCGATGGTCGACACTTATGTTGTTATGGAACCTGTACCATTTCAGCCATATTTGGAGCCACTTACTCCACATTTCTGTCACCACAATTGGATTGTAACAGGTTATAGTTTCTTGGGTTCATGAGAATTTTTTTGTACACCACCCGTGTTTAAATTTCACATACTCATATGCCTTTATAAATGGCGTCACTTAGAACAAGGCTTGTCAAAGATTCTTTAAGGGTATTAATGCATTTTATGCATGTATGTGTATCAGTGGGGTGTGTGGATAGTTTTGGGATTGGGGGATGTGGATGAGAGATGGAACATTAACTCCACTTCAAAATATGAACCTTGATTCACGGTACACATGTTCCAGAACACATCCACAATATTCAAAGACTGCCTTGTAGGCATGAATATTACTTGTAGAATTGAATCATTTGAAAATTGTCTGCCCTGAACTTGGAAGTCACAACATAAAACTTCCTTCTTCCTGTGGCTCTACAACCCAGTGTGGGTCTTGACTGCCTCCTTTTGGAGGTTTCTTAGTCTTCAAAGTGTGCATTTGTGAGTAGTGGGTGACCAGTCCACTGCCTCCGCACAATTGCTACTCAATCCTGATTTCGTCTTCTATAGCCATCTAGTACTGAATCAGGAGAGAGTTGGGTGAGAAATTGCCATTGAATTTTGCTTACGAAACATCTTGTTCATGTTCGTAATGTCTTTTATGTGCCATAAATCTATAACGTGGGACCGCCAGCTTTGCTTCCCCTCCAAAGGATGTGTGCTACGGATTTTTATCACCCTTAAGAATCCATCGACCTCGGCCAGGTTTGCACCTGTGAACCTTGGGTCCAGTGGCGAGCATGCTAACCACTAGTCCACCGAGGGCAACCGCAACATATAACACCTTAGTTAAAAGGGTAGTTGACTGAAATTGTCATTTATACAGGTCATAACTTTGTAATCCAGGAGGTTTGATAGGTTGGGCGTGTGGATAGAAGGGTTTTCAGGATCAGATGTGTTGAGAGGCTGTCTTTGGTATTAATGGTGTTGAGCCTTTTTGTTAGCTGCATTTCATCTTGAACATGCCATGTTGAAAATGGTTTGAGATTAATGATACTGAATTAAAATTATTTTGAATCTTCATTTTTTTATCATTTGTTGTAGGATGTTAGATGAATTTGGTAATGAATTGGAAAACACCGACTCCAAACTTGACACCACAGTGAAGAAAGTAGCAAAGGTGCTTCATATGTCAAATGGTGAGTTTGAAAAACTTGCTATTTCCAGTATAGATGAAATAGTGATATTAAAGTAAGAGAGATGAAAGTTCACAAATTGTTCTATGTGACAAAAGTAATGGATGTTTAGTTTTGATCTTGGCGTACTGTTTTTTACGTATAACAAAATTTATATACACACCCCACAAACGCCTGCACACCAAACACACCACACACTGCACATCCATGCACACTCGCGCGCGCACACAATTATCTGTTTATACAGGGTGAGTCAGAAGTATGTTTACAAACTTCTGTGCATGTTCCAGGATTAAAAATAAGAAAAAATGTTCCTATGAACATGGGGTCGCAAATGTTTCATTTTCGAAATAATAGCTAAAAATAAGTTTCAATGAATTGACTTTATCTCAAAGTGAATCCAGCTTCCAGCAAAGATTTTCAATTAACGTTTGGGCAGGAATTGTTGGCGACATGCTTATTGGACCACACATGCTTCGTGGGCGTGGTGGCCCAGTAGCATGGCCACCGAGGTCACCGGACCTGACTCCATTGGACTTTTATCTGTGGGGTCACTTGAAGTCCGTCGTTTATGCAACTCCCATAAACAATGAAGACGACCTCTGGGAACGTGTGCGGAATGCAGGCCTGATGATTCGAGGAAACCCTGGTGTGTAGGAACGAATTCGTCAGTCTTGTGTACGTCGTGCTCGGGCATTTGTGGAGAATGGAGGAACAACCTTTGAGAATCTGTTACAAAGAAACATCCCTGTCCTTATACTTGGCAATAAAGGCATACATTGAAACCTATTTTTTGCTATTATTTCAAAAATGAAACATTTGCGACCCCGTGTTCATAGAAAGTTTTTTTTCTTATTTTTGATCCGGGAACACGCACACACAATTTGTAAACATACTTCTGACTCACCCTGTATATTTCCTATTTCACTTGAACAGTTTTTATATAAGAAAGGCACATGACAATGGTATTTTATCACATGCCAAAACATGTAACTTTCATGAATTTACATAAACAGTTTTGTTCAACTGAAAAGAAAAAATACACTTACTGGTAATTCTGCAATGAAAGTATATTTATGTTGTGTTTAATGTTGTTTGATTTTGGTAGTGCGAGTTTACTTTCATCTTGTAATGTTTTGTAACATTTCAGTCCACTTCACATTAGTGTGACGCCATCTTTATCAGTTTTAATCAATCCTGCTCGTGTTACACTGACAACTGAGAGTAATTAAATCATCTTCTGTTATTGATGCTTTTTCTGTGTTGTGGTGCCTTATGGATTTATAGGTAGATGCCAGTGTTTCAGAGAAACATACTGTCTTCATCTTCAGAGCTGAAGTTTCTCTGAAATGTTGGTATGTACCCACGTGTATGTCCACAAAGCATCACAACCCAGAAGAACAACACTGACATCTTTACCACTGTGAGAACCTCCCTCAAATTTCACAAACTGTCCTCTGCCTGGATAAGAAGTAAACTAATTTATCAGGTTACGTAAATACGACAAATAAACTGTTCCAAGGTTTCAGTCAAACCCAGGCTTTTCATCTGTGGAAATCACATTCAGGTCAGATGTTGGCCTAGTCTGAGAATCCTGATGGTCTTAAAATTGAAAAGAAAATTAAATGAATTTTAAAAGGTGCTCCTTGTAGTCTGTAAAAGTAAACAGTCCCGCTACACACCATGTAGGTCGCTTGGGGGGAGAAGAGGTACAGCTCCTACTCTTTCTTGACCTCGGCACTGGATGGGGGTGAGCGGTCAGCATCACGCCCCGGCCACGCTTTATCCCTGTGGAAAGGACCCCTGTACCCATTGGATAGGAGGCTCTGTGGGCCCCAGAGCCAGTCTGGATACAGAGACTAGAGGAAAAATCCTCTGCCCCCGTTGGAGATCGAACCCCGGTCGTCCAGCCTGTAGATAGTCACTATACTGACTGGGCTATCCTGGCTTCCTTGTATTGGTTTGTTAAAATAAATGGATCCTAACAGGAGCCCTTTGTTGGATTTAGTGTAACCCTCAGAAAATCATGCCACAGTCCAATAGGTTTGACCTGCAAGGGTGTTATGTGTTAAAACATAGGGAACGTAAAGGATTAACCCTCTTCTGGCTTAAGTGCTTTGTTGTTAGTCTTAGCATTCAGAAACATTCATGTTTTTTTGTTATTTACCAGTCATATTTGTTGTGAAGTTGAACTAACTTCTCGATGATCCATGTAGTCTGTAGTGACGTTTCAGAGGCGTTTGTTGCTTCCATCATCAGAGCAGTGAGTCCTGATGATGAACTCATTAAGCACCTCTAAAATGACGGTAAACTTCTACCAGATTACATGGCGCAACATTCCAACAGACAGTAATTTTCTACTCACTGCCGTGGGAACCCGAAATCTCACCATGAGAGGCTTTTTTTTTTTAATTTTCTCCAGTTCTGACTTATTTATCTTGATGAAATAATGTAACATTACTTTTCTTGTGTGTGAAATATTAGAATGGGTTAATGAAACTCCTGTCTTGTTATGTTTCCAGATCGAAGGCAGTGGATTGCTATAGCGGTCTTATCAGGAATAATGGTAGTTGTCATTATTCTTTTCATTGTCACTTGAAGAGTTCTCTCCCAGCGCAAGCTGCAGATTATCTGTGACTTGTGTTTGTTGTAATTAGCTACGTGTTAGTTGTACTGATGTCACAGACATACTCCAGCTAGTCCAACTTGATGCAAGAGGATGCCATTAGCTTCATGCGATCGAGGATATAAGTGGGTGCTCATTTTACTCCAGTGTTTACAAATCTTGTAGGGTTTTTTTTTGTATAGAATGGTTATTGTAATTCCATTTTCTATTCCTGTATATGTCTTGAAGTAATTTATTTGGAAAAATCTAAGCTTCAGTAATTTTAACTATCGTGAATTTTAAATTCTAAAAAATAATGCAAGTATTAGAGATAGAAATGTTCCTACATTATCACACAATTTATCCAAAATGCTGCGTACCATTTGAATGCTTCATGAGACTATAAGTGATTCATATGTAATGTCAAGGAATTCCAGGCAGAACTTGTAATGATTACTTTTCTGTTACACTAACTTCTAGTGCCACAAACATTGTGTTGTTTGTATGTTATTTAGGCAAAATACATTTATAGTCCAACAGCAAAATAAAATTTAGCACGCGCACAAGAGCAGATGGTCATATAATTGAATCCTAGATGAGTTAGAAAATTTTTATCCCTTGCAATTATAAATATGTTACAGATTATTATCATCATATTTATAATCTTCATTGTTTCCTTCTGAGCAGAACTTATTACTTAGGTATCAGTTTTGTTTTTATTTAAATTTGTCAGACATAATCTTAAAGTTTTGTACCATTGGTGTGTTTGTATAAATGAAATTTGCACACAATTAATAGACATGTTTACAGCCTACATATTTTCGTATTGAATTTCAAATTCCCAGGTCAGATGGTTCATTATTTATCATCTTCAAACTGAAAATTAAATATGCATGTCATGTAGCTACCATCCTGTTGTTTTACACACTACAAAAATTACCTCAATAAATGTAATTTTGCTTAATGTCAATTACCGTACATCATTTCCGGACCACTTGTTAAGTGGGTTTAATATCATTCCGACTTCACAAATTCATGTTTCTGCCATGTTCTATGTATTTATTTATTTGTATATTATTTAATGATGCTTTTTCATTAACTCAGACTATATAATGTCGATCTGCCTTGTTGTTGTTGCTGATCATTAGGAATTAAAATTATGAGGGGATAGTGGTTTGAAATGGCACATCATATATCATTCTGTGAAAGTTAGTCACTTCGTTCTAAAGCTGAAAGGTGGAAGGACACCCGAACTGCATGGACATCGCAAAATCTTTCTTTATGTACGTTTTGCGAGATATATTTTTGTGTCATCACAGAAATAACAGAGGATGAGTTTACCCCTAAATGCATTATCCTACTGAAGTAATTGCTACTTTAGAGGAGAGAATGATGTGAAAGAATTAGTCGCAAAGAAGCGAATGTTCTAGACCAAAAATTACACCAAGTTGTTGCAGGGCTGTTCAAGTTAAAAAAATTAAATAAACATGCTGTGATGTTCTTTGAAATTTTGTGTAGTATTCTTCCCTCAGAATTCTGTTTAGTACTTTGAAAAAAAATTTCAACAAGAATGGCAAACAATCCATTTTGAGATTTTGTCAAAATTAAGAACTAATATTTTTTACAAAAAAATATGTATATGACACATAGTGTGTTTTTTTGTTAAACTTTATTGTACAAGTATAAGGGATGTAAACCCCCATTATAGGGGCTGCTGGCCAGACTTTAACTTTGAGATTAACAATTTAGTGATTTGCGAGTGTGACTCATGGCCGGTTCGACTGCACATTAGCCACAATGTACAAAGGTTAAGCTCTATAATTTTCATTTCAAATATTTTTAATAAAAAGTATTTGTTATTGGCCTTACGTGAAGCAGAGGCTATAATGTTTACCTCTGAACTAGAATTCACTGGCAAGTTTCATGGACGGAAAGATATATCAGTCCCGTACTTAGTGTTTCAGTTTCAGCATTGAATATCTGAAATCTGAACAGCGAAAACTGTTGCCATATAATGGCCTACTTTGACCAATGAAGTTCAGAACTCGTACATCAAATATCATACAGAACTTGTTATGATGGTGTAAAATGTTTTCTAGCCAGAAACAGCAGCTTCATAAATTGAAGATACATGTTTGTTTAATTTGTGTGAGGCTTATTGTTTCATAAATAAAGCAGTAAAATGGTACTCAGATCTTTAATGATCCTGTAGACAGGGATGGAAGTGGCTTTTCGGAACTAGGCCGTTACTCCAGATCAGTAGAAATGTCCAGGGGAATGTACAGCACGCGTTATAAAGCAAATTAATATGATGCAGGTTTGAGAATTCATTCCCACGTGGTGTGTTTTTGGGAACAATATTTACTATGTCCAAGGCTCTGGAAATTGCTTAGTTAAGAGAAGCAATCTGGAACTAAGTAGAAAGTCTTCTCCGTAGGTTTTAGTGGCTGTTGTTTAAAGTATAACTTTGGCTTTTGGGTAATAAGCTTTATCATTTGTTTAAGGTTTTCTAACATTTTAGCAAATATATCATTTGCAATCTCATACATCAAGTATCATACAGAATTTTTGAAGACTGCAACTGCATTGTTTGCTGAAATATAGGGAAACGTTAAAAAATGTACTTGACTTATCCCCGAAAGTCGAAGTTATACATCAGGTACGTAGCATATGTCTGCATCTTCTTCTCTTTCAAGCCCTGCCTATAGATGTTGCATCAGTTGATATTCCCAGTGCTCCCTTCAAGTGAGAAACACTTGGGATACAAGAATTTTAAGATGCAATCACATTTCCTATTCATTCATTAAAAATCACCAAAGTTTTATGTTTAGTTTAAAACAGTAGGTGAGTTACGTATGTTAGCTGTATAAGACGCAGTGCAATATGTTCATAGAGTGAACATTTTATACCACAGTTATTTCCTGGTTACAATAATTAGATTGCTAAATTATTGGTTTAGTTTTTTGTTAGGTGCTGTTTCATAAAGCAGTGTCATATTCTTTTATGCTCTGAATTTTTTTGTGCACAGTTGTAAGGATACACTAAAGAATTGTATTAATTGCCAATAAAATGTACACAATTATTCTCAAAAAAGTTATCTGATAGGTTGTACAGTATCATATTAGATTGTATATAGATGAGGGAAATTATAATTTTAATTATTGTTTGGTGTGTTTTAGAAACATTTGTTCCATTTATATTGGTGCATCATTTGAAAAATATAAAATGTACGTAAATTAAAATGTTTTGTTTCAGGTGTCAGTGTGTTTTCATTGGTGATTTGAAAAATGACTTTGTAGTAAGTAGTTACTGCACTTGTATTGACTTGTCATTAGCCTCTGATGATCTTTTTATTTATATTTTTTATCCTGGCTTTAAATACATTGTCTTAGAACTTGGTGGTTTGCCAACCATATTTACTTTTATATATTCGGCGTCAGATTATAATTTATGCTATTAACAAAACAGCAACATGCTCCACACACCTTATCTTGCATTTGAATAAATATTTATGAACTGTATTTAGATTTCTGTAGAGTGGAATTATATGAATTTTATCTTCCACTTTAGCGACTGTCTGAGAAGTAAATGAATTTAATTTTATAACTTCTTCAGAAGAAAACTAGAAAAGTACAAATACTTAAAGGAAACATAATAAACATTATATACCTGGTTGCATTATTTACCATAACCGTGAGAATTCAATGATTTTCCTTAAACAAATATGGTTTTTGCTAAACTACTACTTTCATTTGATACTTGTGTTTTGTTATTTATATTGTTAATGTCTTTATAAGATGAGTTGTTGCTATCAAACATCATATTAAAACATTGTGTATCTTATATTTGTAAGGGAAACTAAACAGTTGTGGAATAATGAAACTGAAATTGTCATGTCACCTTATATAAATATATAATTGAACCCTGATATAGAATAAATCATCATATTTCCATCCCTCTTTGGCTCTACAACGTAAATCAAGTTTTGTCTAGAAAACTTCTAGTGTTGTGTTTGTAGAAGTCATCTGTTGATCCCCCGCTGAACTGC